GTCCATGAAGATTTTTAAAAAACAAACAATAACATGTTAAAATCTAAACTCTAAAACGAACGAGGAACCAGAGGAACGAGGACAAACACGTGTGTGATGTTTCTGTACGAAGTGATCTAGTCCTGGTCTAGTCCTGGTCTAGTCCTGGTCTAGTCCTGGTCTAGTCCTGGTTTAGTCCTGGTCTAGTCCTGGTCTAGTCCTGGTCTAGTCCTGGTCTAGTCCTGGTTAGTCCTGGTCTAGTCCTGGTTTAGTCCTGGTCTAGTCCTGGTTTAGTCCTGGTTTAGTCCTGGTCTAGTCCTGGTTTAGTCCTGGTCTAGTCCTGGTCTAGTCCTGGTTTAGTCCTGGTCTAGTCCTGGTCTAGTCCTGGTCTAGTCCTGGTTAAGTCCTGGTCAAGTCCTGGTCTAGTCCTGGTTAAGTCCTGGTTTAGTCCTGGTCTAGTCCTGGTCTAGTCCTGGTCTAGTCCTGGTTAAGTCCTGGTTAAGTCCTGGTTAAGTCCTGGTTAAGTCCTGGTTTAGTCCTGGTTTAGTCCTGGTCTAGTCCTGGTTTAGTCCTGGTCTAGTCCTGGTTTAGTCTTGGTCTAGTCCCGGTTTAGTCCTGGTCTAGTCCTGGTCTTGTTTTGGTCCGTCGGGGCCTGTGACATCATCACTGCGAGCCCTGACATGAGAACCATATGGACTCATTCTGACTGTGGTCATTACATGAGAACCTTAAGGAGTGAATGTGTCAGTGTCTCTGAGACAAACATGAGTCAAACTTTAAATCAGACCAAATCCAGCGGGACCAACACTGACCCCTGACCCCTGACCCACACCCTGACCCCACACTGACCCTGACCCTGACCCACACCCTGACCCTGACCCCTGACCCTGACCCCTGACCCTGACCCCACACTGACCCCTGACCTGACCCTGACCCCTGACCCCACCCTGACCCACACTGACCCCTGACCCTGACCCCTGACCCCTGACCCTGACCCCACACTGACCCCTGACCCTGACCCTGACCCTGACCCTGACCCTGACCCTGACCCCACACTGACCCTGACCCCTGACCCTGACCCTGAGCCATGGACTGGATCAGGTCTAAACCAGGTCTAAACCAGGTCTACACGTGGACTGGATCAGGTCTAAACCAGGTCTAAACCAGGTCTACACGTGGACTGGATCAGGTCTACACGTGGACTGGATCAGGACTAAACCAGGTCTACACGTGGACTGGATCAGGTCTGAAGGGACAGACCCACAGACTTCAGTCCAATTCAAATCCAATTCTTTTAAATCTTTTCTTTCATTTTTCTCTTCTTCTTCTTCTTCTTCTTCTTCTCTTCTGTCTAATGATGTAAATGTTCTCTCCTCCCCCTCTTCTTTCTCTCCATCTTTTCTCTCTCTAATGACCTGAATCATGTCTGAGTGACTCTTAAATGATTCGCTCCTCCTCCCTCCCTCCATCCTCCCTCCATCCTCCTCCATCCTCCTCCTCCATCCTCCTCCATCCTCCTCCCTCCATCCTCCTCCATCCTCCCCCATCCTCCTCCATCCTCCTCCCTCCTCCTCCCCTCCATCCTCCTCCCTCCATCCTCCTCTCCATCCTCCCTCCCTCCATCCTCCTCCCTCCATCCTCCCTCCATCCTCCTCCTCCCTCCATCCTCCCTCCATCCTCCTCCCTCCATCCTCCTCCTCCTCCTCCTCCATCCTCCATCCTCCCTCCATCCTCCCTCCCTCCATCCTCCCTCCATCCTCCCTCCATCCTCCATCCTCCCTCCATCCATCCTCCTCCATCCTCCCTCCCCTCCATCCTCCTCCCTCCATCCTCCTCCCTCCTCCATCCTCCTCCATCCTCCATCCTCCTCCTCCCTCCCTCATCCTCCTCCCTCCATCCTCCCTCCTCCATCCTCCTCCCTCCATCCTCCTCCTCCATCCTCCTCCATCCTCCTCCCTCCCTCCATCCTCCTCCCTCCATCCTCCCTCCTCCTCCATCCTCCTCCCTCCATCCCCTCCCTCCATCCCTCCATCCCTCCTCCCCTCCATCCTCCTCCCCTCCATCCTCCCTCCATCCTCCTCCCCTCCATCCTCCATCCCTCCATCCTCCTCCTCCCTCCATCCTCCCTCCATCCTCCTCCCTCCATCCTCCTCCCTCCATCCTCCTCCTCCATCCTCCTCCCCTCCATCCTCCCTCCATCCTCCTCCCTCCATCCTCCTCCTCCATCCTCCTCCCTCCATCCTCCTCCCTCCATCCTCCTCCTCCATCCTCCCCTCCATCCTCCTCCCATCCTCCTCCCCTCCTCCCTCCATCCTCCTCCCTCCATCCCTCCTCCATCCTCCTCCTCCATCCTCCTCCCTCCCTCCATCCTCCTCCTCCATCCTCCCTCCTCCATCTCCCTCCATCCTCCCTCCATCCTCCCTCCATCTCATCCTCCTCCTCCATCCTCCTCCATCCTCCTCCTCCATCCTCCTCCCTCCATCCTCCCTCCATCCTCCTCCTCCTCCATCCTCCTCCTCCATCCCCTCCATCCTCCATCCTCCCTCCATCCTCCTCCCTCCATCCTCCTCCCTCCATCCTCCCTCCATCCTCCCTCCATCCTCCATCCTCCTCCATCCTCCTCCTCCATCCTCCTCCCTCCATCTTCCTCCCTCCATCCTCCTCCATCCTCCTCCTCCATCCCTCCTCCTCCATCCTCCTCCATCCTCCTCCATCCATCCTCCTCCCTCCATCCTCCCTCCATCCTCCTCCCTCCATCCTCCCTCCATCTCTCCCTCCATCTTCCTCCCTCCATCCTCTCCCTCCATCCTCCTCCATCCTCCTCCCTCCATCCTCCATCCTCCTCTCCTCCCTTCCATCCTCCTCTCCTCCATCCTCCTCCCTCCATCCTCCTCCTCCATCCTCCTCCCTCCATCCTCCTCCCTCCATCTCTTCTTCTTCTTCTTCTTCTTCTTCTTCTTCTCGTCTCTTTCTTTAATGAATCGTGTCTGAGTCTTAAATGATTTGGTCTCTGATGATCCAAACCACCTCTTTGTCTAAATTATTTTAAATCTCTCCACTGAGACAAGTCCCGTTTAGACCTGGTTTAGTCCTGGTTTAGACCTGGTTTAGTCCTGGTTTGAGTCCTGGTTTAGTCCAGTTTTAGTCCTGGTTTTAGTCCTGGTTTAGTCCTGGTTTGAGTCCTGGTTTAGTCCAGTTTTAGTCCTGGTTTTAGTCCTGGTTTAGTCCTGTTTTAGACCAGTTTTAGTCCTGGTTTGAGTCCTGGTTTAGTCCAGTTTTAGTCCTGGTTTTAGTCCTGGTTTAGTCCAGTTTTAGTCCTGGTTTTAGTCCTTGTTTCAGTCCAGTTTTAGTCCTGGTTTTAGTCCTGTTTTAGTCCAGTTTTAGTCCTGGTTTTAGTCCTGTTTTAGTCCAGTTTTAGTCCCGGTCTGGTCCCGCTGGGGCCTGTTATTCCATTAGTGTTTAATTGATTCTGTTGTGAGTTAATTAGGCGCGAGTGTGAGCGGGTCTAGACCTCGTTAGGACCTCATTAGACCCGCCTAGACCCCGGTTAGACCCCGGTTAGTCCTGGTTGAGATCTCGTCAGGTCCTTAATGAGGCTCTAATGAAGGGGAGCAGACAGAGCGCAGCTAACGGCGTCCATCACTGTCAAGGACTACAGACACACTGAGGCATCATGGGAAGTGTAGTCCTCACAGCGTCCATCACTGTCAAGGACTACAGACACACTGAGGCATCATGGGAAGTGTAGTCCTCACAGCGTCCATCACTGTCAAGGACTACAGACACACTGAGGCATCATGGGAAGTGTAGTCCTCACAGCGTCCATCACTGTCAAGGACTACAGACACACACAGAGAGAGAGGAGCATCATGGGAAGTGTAGTCCTCACAGCGTCCATCACTGTCAAGGACTACAGACACACACAGAGAGAGAGGAGCATGATGGGAAGTGTAGTCTGTCACAACCAGGACTGAACTGGGACTAATCCAGACTAAAATCCAGGGACTAAAACAGAGGATGAGGGAAAAAGAGGAGGAAGAGAGAGAGAAGAGGAAGAGGAGGAGGAGTGTTTGTGTCTGATGAGATTTAAAGTGCTCTTAATTAGAACAATTACCCTCTGCTGTCCACACCTCATCACAACTCATTAACATAAACACACACACACACACACAACACACACACTGACACACACACACACACACTGACACACACACACACTGACACACACACACACACACTGACACACACACACACAACACACACACACACACACACACACACTGACACACACACTGACACACACACACACTGACACACACACACACGACTAAACCAGGTCTGTGGTCTTGACTCTGACCCTGAAGTGACTCTGATCAACGACTGCACAAAACCAACACAGTCCACTCAAGACCAGGTCCAGGTCTGGGTCCAGGTCCAGACTGGGTCGGGTCCAGACTGGGTCCGGGTCCGGGTCTGGGTCCAGGTCCGGGTCTGGGTCCGGGTCCGGGTCCGGGTCCGGGCTAATCTGTAGGTGCAGAATAATCTCAGGACTAAATAGTTTCTAATTGGTGAGTAAATCGTGTGTGATCTGCTCTTTGTTCAGACTAAAGACGACACATGTTGAACTTGATTTTCACTTAATTAGAGCAATTATGATCAGCGCATCGAGAGCCGTCAGAGCTCGTTAGGCTCGTTAGGCTCGTTAGGCTCGTTAGGCTCGTTAGTGTCATTAGCATCATTAACACAAAGTGACTAATCCAACAGTTAAACACGACTGACACATGTTCACACAGACCAACACCACAGACCAGGACCACAGACCAGGACCAGACTGGGTGCTGGTTTAGACCGAGTTTAGTTGTGATTGGTCGAGAGCGGAGTGCAGGTCACATGTTCATATTGTCTGCGTTGTGATTGGTCGAGAGCGGAGTGCAGGTCACATGTTCATATTGTCTGCGTTGTGATTGGTCGAGAGCGGAGTGCAGGTCACATGTTCATATTGTCTGCGTTGTGATTGGCAGAGAGGAGCGCGAGCGTTGGATCCGGGCGAAGTACGAGCAGCGCCTGTTCCTGCCGCCCCTGCCGCCCTCGGACCTGTCTCTGGGGCAGGCGTTGCTCCGGGCGGTCGCCGACGACGACCTGCCGTCCGTGGTCCTGATCCTGGCCCACGGGTCCAGAGTCCAGGTGAACCAGACCTACAGCGAGACCGACCCCAGGACCGCCCTGCACCTGTCCGCCGGCAGGGGCAACGTGGTCGTCACCCAGCTCCTCATCTGGGTAAGACCGGGACCGGGACTGGACCGGGACTGGACCAGACACACAAACATTAAAGTGTGATGATGGTGCAGTGTGGTCGTGTGCTGCTCTCCACTCTGTTCTGTTCTTTGTTTTCTTCAGATGTTTGTGTTTCTCATCAGTGTCTTTAATTTAAACATTTATATTTAAACATTTATATTTGAACGTGTGTATTTGAACGTGTGTATTTAATCGTGTGTATTTGATCGTGTGTATTTGATCGTGTGTATGTGTGTGTGTATTTAATCGTGTGTATTTGAACGTGTGTATTTAATCGTGTGTATTTAATCGTGTGTATTTGATCGTGTGTATTTGATCGTGTGTATTTGATCGTGTGTATTTGATCGTGTGTATTTGTACGTGTGTATTTAATCGTGTGTATTTGATCGTGTGTATTTAATCGTGTGTATTTAATCGTGTGTATTTGATCGTGTGTATTTAATCGTGTGTATGTGTGTGTGTATTTAATCGTGTGTATTTGATCGTGTGTATTTGATCGTGTGTATTTGATCGTGTGTATTTGATCGTGTGTATGTGTGTGTGTATTTAATCGTGTGTATTTGATCGTGTGTATTTGATCGTGTGTATCGTGTGTATTTGATCGTGTGTATTTGATCGTGTGTATGTGTGTGTGTATTTAATCGTGTGTATTTGATCGTGTGTATTTGATCGTGTGTATTTGATCGTGTGTATTTGATCGTGTGTATTTGATCGTGTGTATTTAATCGTGTGTATGTGTGTGTGTATTTAATCGTGTGTATTTAATCGTGTGCGTGTGTGTGTGTGTTCAGTACGGCGTGGACGTGGCGGCGCGCGACGCCTTGGGGCACAGCGCTCTGGCGTACGCGCGTCAGGCTCAGAGTCAGGACTGCGCCGAGGTCCTGGTCCAGTACGGTTGCCCCGAGGACCGAGTGCCGCTGGCGGCGGCGCTGACGCCGTTGGCCGCCACCCCCAACCTGTCGCGCAGGAACATGAACCGCAACAACAGCTGCAGCAGCGCCGGCTCGGCCGCGCTGCTATAGGCCCCGCCCACTGTCCACTGACACACCCACTGCCCCGCCCACTGTCCACTGACACACCCACTGCCCCGCCCACTGTCCACTGACACACCCACTGCCCCGCCCACTGTCCACTGACACACCCACTGCCCCGCCCACTGTCCACTGACACACCCACTGCCCCGCCCATCATCCAGACACACCTACTGCCCATAGCCCCGCCCACCACAGGAACTTCAACACTAACAAGAAGTTTAATGCACAAACACACACACACACACACACACGACACACACACACAACACACACACACAACACACACACACACGACACACACAACACACACACACAGGGGATATAATGTGTGTAATCATGAATAGTGACGCCCCACAGGATTCTGGGAGATGTGGTCCAAGAGAAACAGAGAAGAAGGAGGAAGAGGAGAGTTTGAGGGTCAGAGGTCAGAGGGTCGGGGGGTCTGTGGGGTCAGAGGTCAGGGGGGGTCAGAGGTCGGGGGTCAGATGTGAAGTGAGTGTGAGGAGCAGGTTTTTCTGATCATGTAAAGTTGTGAGAAAAGTGAAACGGTGGAATGTTCCCGACGCCGAATGAGACGTTTTTGTTTTTGCCACTACAAAATAAGAGCCTCCCTTTTTAATGTACAGATATTTAAATCCACACTAAACAGACTTTTATTTTGACGAGCACTTCCTGTCCCCACACTACACAAACACCCGCTGTTAAAGTCTGTAACGTTGTGACGAGGAAACGACCGCGACCGCAAAGGACGCTGGGAAACGCAGTCCACAGTCTCCTCCTCCTCCTCCGCCGCCGCCGCCGCAGGAAAAACACTCAACAAACAACACATTCTTTTTACCTCATGGACGACGGCCAGTTCCTGTGACATCACCCCCGAGAGCCAATCAGACGCCAGCGCTGAGGCGGCGAGGCGGACGCGTCGGTCGGGACTCGTTTGTAGACGTAGTTTGATGCATGTTTTTGTAAAGTTTATTTAAATTGTGAATAGTGAGATTTTCATTGCTGGACCAATGTTTGAAGAACGAGGAGGAAAAAAGGAGGATTTAGTTTTTTGTTTTTTTTTATGTGAAATATTTGAACGTGAAAAGAGACGCTCAGGAACTTTTTATGTTTGGGATTTTTTTACAATTTGACCCAAAATTACACTTAAGACAAAAAAAGAACCGGAAATCTCAAAGAAAAATCTAAAACAAACCAAGAACCAGGACTAAACCAAGTCTAAAACCAGGACTAAACCAGGACTAAACCAGGTCTAAACCAGGACTAAACCAGGACTAAACCAGGACTAAACCAGGTCTTTTCTCTCTGTGAGGTTCTGTTTTCTTGTTTTTTGAGATTTCTGTGTTTTTTTGTTTTTTTTGTCTTAAATCCAAATCAAAGGTGAAAAAGCCACAAAAGGATCAAAGGGAAAAAGTGTCACAGACGAAACTCAAACTGAACCTGAAAACCTCTGGACGAAGGGTTTTTCTGCTGCGACGACGCCAACGTCAGACTGAACCTCCACAAAACCCACGCCCACAAAAAAATGACAATTTCACTTTTTTTGGTCTGAAATTTCATTTTTTTCTGGGTTTGAATCAAAAGAAATTTACCAGAAGTTTCTGAAATTTCACCAGAACTAAACCAGGACTAAACCAGTTCTAAACCAGGACTGAACCAGGACTGAACCAGGACTGAACCAGGACTGAACCAGGACTAAACCGGGACTAAACCAGGACTGAACCAGGACTGAACCAGGACTAAACCGGGACTGAACCGGGACTGAACCAGGACTAAACCGGGACTGAACCAGGACTAAACCAGGACTGAACCAGGACTAAACCAGGACTAAACCGGGACTGAACCAGGACTAAACCAGGACTAAACCGGGACTGAACCAGGACTAAACCAGGACTGAACCAGGACTAAACCAGGACTAAACCAGGACTGAACCAGGACTAAACCAGGACTAAACCAGGACTAAACCAGGACTAAACCAGGACTGAACCAGGACTAAACCAGGACTAAACCAGGACTAAAACCAGGACTGAAACCAGACTAAACCGACTGAACCAGGACTAAACCAGGACTGAACCGGGACTGAACCGGGACTAAACCGGGACTGAACCAGGACTAAACCAGGACTGAACCAGGACTAGACCGGGACTCTAAACTGGTCCTGGATTCTTTTAAAAGTTTGAATAAATAAAACGGTGAGTTGTTTGTCAAACTTCTGGTAAAAGTGGTGGTTTGGTTTGGTTTGGTTTGGTTTGGTTTGGTTTGGTTTCGACTGAGGAGGTTTTACAGAAACTCCAAACTCTGTGTCAGACTTTTATTCTGAAACTGTCTCCGTCCTCTTTACTGTTTTACTCTGAAAATCCACACAAGCAATATCCACGTGTCACATATCACCGTCACTTTAAACAGAACCAGGACCAGGACCAGGACCAGGACCAGGACCAGACTTTACCAAACACTCGTCATGATTCTTCTCTTGATGTTTAATTTATTTATATTTTAATATTTCTCCTAAAACACTAAATTCCCCAAACGACTAAAGTCCCGTTTAAAGTGTCGACGTCGTCTTCTTCTTCTTCTTCTTCTTCTTCTCGTGTTCCTCCAGGTTCAGGAGGTTCAGGAGTCATTTAGAGATCTCTCCCAGTTCAAACCCTCGTCACAGTCTGCTGCAGTACGAGTCTGTACGAGGCTCCGCCCACACGCTCCCACACCACAGTCCTACACAAAACTGAAACACGACGACACGACAAACCTGATGTGAGGCGCACGAGGTTCTGAAGGGGGAGCGACTCAGCACAGAGAGCAAACGGAGGAGCGACTCAGAGCGACAAAAACAAAAGTGAAACATAAAAAACATGAATCTGTCGTTTTGGGCGAAACATTTTTAAAACAATAAAAAAATAAATAAAAAAAAAACCTGAAGATGAAACGAGCGACAAAGAAAAACCCCAAAAAAAACGAGCGACAAACCCCCCCCCCCCAACTACCCCCCCACTACCCCCTACCCCCAACTACCCCCCCACTACCCCCACTACTACCCCCCCCCCACTACCCCATACCCCCCCAACTACCCCCCAGGAGGAAATGTTCTTCTGTAAAACTTGTTTTTAACACTGATTCAGTTTGAACACTTCAGGTTTAACACTAAAACAAAAGACACTTTTTTATTCTTGATTCTTTGGTCTGTTCCACAAACGACGTCCGGTCCCTGGTTCTGGTTCTGAAACAAACGTCACTTTCTCTTATTTTCGTTTCTTTTTTTTTTTTCTTTTTTTTTTTTTTGTGTCTAAAAAGTCAAAATTTCATCGCAGCAAAAATCTGAAATCTCAACTTTTTTCATTTTGTTCCGTTTCATTTCTTTTCGTTTTGTTCTGTGAAGCCTCCATTTTGTGTCGTGTCTTTGTAAATAAAGTTGTGTGTGTAAGCCCCGCCCACTTACCTGTCAGGTGTGTAAGCTCCGCCCACTCTGTCCTCATGACGTCACCGTGGAAACGTTGATTCTGATTCTGATCTTAACTTTCATTTGTACAGTCGCTGTTTAAAGTGAATAAACCAACAAGAACTTTCACCGACGCCTCGTTATTACACACAACACACAGCACTATACACACAGCACTATACACACAACTATACACACACACACAGCACTATACACACAACACTATACACACAGCACTATACACACACACACACAG